AAAAAAAAAAAAACAAAAAAAAAAAAAAATTGCACCTGCAACATTTCTGGTAACAGTGCACCACAGGACAGTGTGCTATAACACAGGTGTGTTGGCATTCCATTTAAAATGAATGGCACCTCAACATGTGCATGGTGCACTAACCCCACAGTGGTGTGAACAAAGCCTTAGCCAACGTTTAAAACTAAGCATCTTGACAAGATTAGAAACCACAAAATATCTGCCAATACCTTTTTAGGCCTTGTTTTTATCAGCGCATTAAAGTGATGCCCACTAACTCATTGTGGCCTGGTTCACACCTGGGCGTTTTACAGCGCGATCCTACGCACTGTAAAACGCACATGTGAAAACCAGTGACTGCCTATAGGTATGGTTCCCACCTGGGCGTTTCACAGCGTGTAGGAACGCGCTGCAAAACGCCCAAAGAAGTACAGGAGCTTCTTTGGGGCGTATTTGCTGCGCATATCCACTGGGGTACAGCCAGGTAGCCCTCGGAAACGCGCGTTTGTCTGCGAACCACGGTAAAAACGCGCGGCACGAAACGCACATATTCGATACACCTAGGTGTGAACCCAGCCTGTGCGCACGCTATTGCGTTGCCGCTCATTTTGAATGGTACCCCAATGCACCTCTTTTGAGCTGAGGGTGCTGCCCCCAAAAGCATATTGTAGGACAACTGGCAGCCCCTTTAAGCTGCACAGCAGAACATTCCTTCTGCCACAGATTGTTTCTCCCTCTCTGCTGGAGATATACAATAAAAGAGAGGAGAAATGTTCCCCAACACAGGAGTGGCGGAAATTTTAGTAGAGCTAAAGCATGAGGACTTTGCAGGTTTGGGGTCCCTGGCACACACCGCAGAATCTCTTATCGCTGCATCTCAGTCTCTGGCAGGCACAGCAGGGATCCTACCCCTAGCAACAGCAAAGGAAGATTGCAATTGGCTGCCGGACTGAGACCCCACCCACTGGTTGGAATTGCTACAGGAGAGAAAGCCACAGGGAGGCCAGAAGAAGGATTTTCTGAGCTGCTGGACAGTGCACCAGGAGCCCAGAGAAACATTTTGCTAGGTTATGCTACATGCCAAGAGCTGTGTGGGCTGGGAACAAAGACTAAGTGCGGAGTATGAGGGGAGTGCGATTTAGGAGAGCGGTTGCCGTGTCAGGAAGGGATACCTTGAGCACACTGCTGTGCCTGCAGGAGAGAGGGAGAAGGAGAGAAGTACCGGGGACTAAGGGCTGTGCTGTCCACAGACTGGCTGTAGAGGCAGGGCCACAAGAGGAGAATCTTCATGGAGATGCAGGCTTCAGTGATGGGCCCAAAGCCTGGTGGGCTGTCTTTTGCCTACCTTCATTCAAAAGCTGTGACCTAGCTCCAATCCATATCCATCCTAAACATAGGAGGGGCCACCTAGGAATGAACTGCTTCTGGGAGAACAGTATTGGAGCACCAGTGTGGAGAGAAGCCTATTGACCACACCGGTGTGTTTGTTTGGCTGATGCTGCCACTACCTCTGCCTGCAGTGGAACTGGGCTGTGCCTAGTTACCCTGGGATTACAAATACTCACTCCCTGAGAGTGAGCACTTCCATTAGTAACCCAAAGGCCCCAAGGCCAGCAGACTTGTCTCACTGGCCAGTGGCTAAGTTCAGGCATTTCTGCAATAGGTGGGCTATACTGCTGCTGGTACCATTATTTACACTGCCTATTTGAGATTACTATAGCACTGGTTTACAGTGTCAGGGTAGTTACTAGTGCAACAGATATGTGAGCATCGTTCCCTTACACTGTCCTATTGTGTCGTGACCCAGTTATTTCACAAGCGGCCATGGGGGGGACGACATTTCCTTGGCGATTACGTCAAAAGGAAAACCGTATTTGTGTCCCAACTTTCCTTTCCAGGCATTTGCCCGTTTAATAAAGCCCATTCAACTGTTTCTGGTGTTTCAGTGTTTGTCAGGTCCAGGTACCGTGCGAGATGTCACTGGGGGGCGGCAGAAGGACCCAAACAAAACCAGCGTCTCCTCCAGGGGTAGTGCTACCTTAGGAGTCGTTGGGTTTTTGTTCAAGTCCTCCAGTGGAAGAAGACACACCCTAATTTTACAGTTGTTATATCTTAGTATGTCAAGTTACATTTAACCCTTTCACAAAAAAAAACCATTTAGTCAAAATCATAAGATCACTATAGGGAAGCTCAGCTAAATAATTAAAGTGACCCCAAAATAACCACCCCAGAGTATACCTGCTAATATTATGAATGTCATCACATCCACATTGTTGTATAAAGAATTTCTCCTAATGCCAGAACTGTGAGCATGACAGCACTTCCAGCTCATATTCAGTGCCACAGAGTTGGTAGAAGCAGACTCAAATCTCATTCATTGAATTTCTCAAAATTCAGCAGTAATATATGTACTTAGTAGCACCACAGCAGGGGAGAATAAATCTCAATTTACAGATCGATGTCCACCATCTACACCAATGGTGGTCAACATGGTGAATTTAGCAGGTCGCAATACCTGTACACCTCTGTGCATGTGTTGTGGCGCCAATCATTATAAATGACACCTCTACTCACGCTTTCAGTAGTGGACAATACAACTGCACTGCAGCTTGCACATGCTGAGCGTTGCTGTGTGCTGCATCAATTAAATGTCATGTCTGTTTTTCAATGTTTAAAGATGTGTCAAAGGTGCTTACACAGTGCTCGGTAGCAGGAACAGATTGAATCAGCTCCTAGGCTTAGTATTGGACTGCAGCTGTCACTGACAGCCAGCGGCTCCAACGCTAAACCCAGTCAAAGCTACTGTCAGGCATCAAGTCTACACTATAAAAACAGAGAATATTCTTGACTTTATATTATGACCACAACTTCTACAGAAACAAACCTGGGAAGCCGAAGCACCTGGTTGGAGGTATTCACTAGGACTCACTGCAGCTGTTGCCGTCATGCTGACCTAAAAGAAGAATTGCTTACTGAATTACAAGAAAATAAAAATCTTCACAAGGGTTATTAAAAATATAAGAATACAAAAAAAATCCGAACATAACAAACAAAAGGATCAGTTTAAAAAAACATTTTTCCATTACGTGCATGTACACAGAGGCAGCTTCATAATTATCAACCCATTTGGGAGATCTCTTCTTACTTTCCGTCTATGTGACAGACAGAAGATGAAGTGACATGCAATCCCTATTGTGACACACAGGTGGCAGCAAAAAACATACTTTTAGTATAGCAGGAAAGATCAGCATTGTATTGCAGTCTCCACAAGGCAGAATTCCTTTCATTTCCTGTACAGGTGACAAATGTGCCGCAGCAAGGGAAATCGTGGACATCTGATCTGACAGGAAAACCTCAAAAGGGACACAGCAATACAATACTGACAGTTCTAACCCTTCTCCGCTTTATCTAAAACAATAAAAAGGTTCCATTCTCCTCCAAAACGCTCAGGTAGTTAAAAGATTATCTAAAGCCAAAACGTTTTTAGTTTTGGATAGAATGGGAAAGTGTTAGAGCCCGTCCGGTTTTTAATGCTACCTGTGTACCCACTAGGGAGATTTACTTTCTTGATTAGTCCTGACAACCACGGTTACTGGGACTGAAAGTGAGGGGAATCAACCAATGGAGACACTTGCACTAGAAGGGGATGCCCCTACTTTGTAGAGATTTCCACTCATTTCCTGTGGTGGGACACAGAGAGCAAAAAACAAACAAAAACAAAAAATCTAAGGAAGTTTTACCATTCACTACACTAGCCCACAATAAAAAAGGTTTGAGGTCTACTTTAACTCTAAAAGCATCTACCAAAAACTGAAGGTTTGCATTGTGCACATGCCCTGAGACATTGTTAAAACCTTGGGGGGAATTTATCAAAACTGGAGCAGACAAAACCTGGAGCAAATTTGCACTGCAGCCAATCTCTCTCTCTCTCTCTCTCTCTAAACTGAAGAGATGCTCTTCCAGTTTCACACTAGATGAATTAAAAGGAGAACTATGGGGTCAGTGTTTTTCCCCATAGTTCTCCTTGGGGTAACGGGAGGACACAAACTAGCGTCCTCCCGTTACCCCTAAGCTCAGTATATACTGAGAAGCCGCACCTTGAGCGGATCCCGACGTAGCTGACGGGATCCACCCATCTGGGTGAGTGACAGCTGGCTCTGCCTATCTAGAGGCAGAGCCAGCTGTACCCGCCCCCTCCCCCGTCCGTTCCGCCAGTCAGCGCTGGCAGATCGGAGCGGGGAGAGGGGAATCCAGCCCCTCCCCCCTGTCACGGCAGAGAGCCGTGACAGGATCGAGAGGTGAGGGAACCCGGTATGTGTTCTCTCACCTCCCGATCTACTGAGCCGACCTGTGACAGTCTCATTGTCACAGGTCGGCTTAGAACTATGAGGTGAGTGGAAAGCACTCATCTCATAGTTCTCCTTTAAAGATCACATATAACGTCGTAATACTCACAATGGCCACCATTCAGAAACCAAATACATGTGAAGATTTTCTTGGGACATTTACCTTTGCTGTATTTTCAAGAGGCAGGTAAGTAAATACAATCTTTCTGTAGGCTCATCTCATCGTCCTCATCCTCTTCACAAGATCATCTTACAAAGTAAATCTGTGCATGTCCAATCAAGATAAGAAGTTAGAACCCAGAGATTTTGTTAATGTCTGTAAAAAAACACATGAGGATGTATAAAAGCATCTAATAAATGGAAAGGTTGTGACGTTCTAGAGAGCTGCACTGCATAACTACATTTAATACATGGTGACGGATTCCCACAGTACCATGGGTTATCTAAAGAAAGTGAACAGTAATGGTTGTACAGTGTTCTCCCTGGCGGTTAACTGATCACCTGGCTGTTCTTTGTCATAGAACATTTGTCTCTTGCAAGGACCTTGGATGAAGCAGTTCAGAGAAAGGTGGAATGAGTGGAAGGAGTGACAACTTTGACATCCACTTGCATGAAAATTTTAGACTGAGCTACTGAGCTCCGCAAACAACCAGCTTTTTTCAACAACGGGTTGAAAGCACAATAACACAGCAAATCTTTTTCAGTTCCACTTACTGAACACAAACATCATAGTGACCAGGACAGGGTTTAACCCCTTCATGACTGAGCTTGTTTTTGGTTTCTGTTCGTAAATGACTGACACACTTTTGACATTTTTGCTGTGTGATTCTTCCACGTCAGTAATATACTTTCTTACAAAGTGCACCCACACATATTATATATTGTTTTTTAGAGGATAGATAGGGCTACATATTTATATCACATATGTGTGTCTAACGCCTCACTTAGGACAAATACAAATTAAAAAAAGAGGAATAAACGTAAAAAAAAACTTTTTTCCCCAGTTTTGATTTGTAGTATTTTTTTTTAACAAAACCAGCACAGCTAAAAAAAAATGCAATACATACATTCATTTATTTGTCCCTTATTTTTAATTTTTTTACACTTTTCACTATTTTTTTTAATTTATTTACACTTTTCACTTTTTTTATACTGACAAATTGTATTTATTTAATTATATCAGGCAGTCATTGTGAATTAATCTCACTATTACTGCTTGATAAATTAATACATTTTTTTTTATTATCAGGCTGCTTCAAACTTCAGAACAGCCGATAATAAGTTAGTGACACTGATCCTGCAGCAGTTCAGGATTCAGCTGTCAGTGAATGTTTCAGAAAACTTAAACATTCTACTTTCATAGATACATTATGTGTCTAATACATAACATTTTGTATCTATTCTTGAAAGTCAAAAGATATTAAAAAAAAAGCCAGTATAGCTTGAGAGAGATATCTCTCGATCTATACGAGCTGTCAGAATGCCGGCAAAAGCCGACATGTGTGTCTGCTTTGCTGTGACTCTCAGACACCCGATATTAAGCTATCGGGTGTCTGAAAAAGGTTAACCCTTTCAGTAATGGATCTCTAGATAGTTAAGACATCTATTACTGAAAGGTAACCGCTGATTCTCAGCGGTTAGCAGCCTTCTAGTGCAGCAAATAACGAGTCATTTGGTCCCTTTGTGGCTGGACGTACAGTGTACGTCTCCCGTCATGAAGGGGTTAAAAAAAAAAAAAAGAAGGTTGGAGGTCAAACATCACTGGTACCTGGAACCACTGAAATCCTACAAATGTTTACATGTAAAGAAGTTCACATTGCTCAGCTACAGTTTGAGTTTACGTCAATAGATGGCTAGGTAATTGAAGTTCTTCAACCACTTTTATTTATTGCTGCCTGTACTCCCACTAGGAAGATGTCCTACACTTTCTGTATGATTACGCTGTAATGTAGAGTTTATAAAATAAAGAATTCATGAGTTATAGAGTTTCATCACAGTAACATCAGCAGACATGTATGCAAAAATATGTTACTGTAACCTTACCATGCAGTGGTAAACAGCAACAAATACTCTCAGGTCAGATCATTCTTTATGACTAACCATACACGGAGCTAAACAAGAAAACACTCAATTCCTCCATCCACACTAAACAGCTAAGGGCTCACTCACACTAGATGCAGTGCATTTCGGCCCAATTTTGGCCGGAACGCACTGCCTCACATTGCGGCCGGCTCACTTTAGTGGGGTAGGAGGGGGCGTTGCGGGCCAAAGAGTACCTGTCACTGCCAATATGCCATCACATGGGGGGCTTGTAAGTGCACAGTAATTTTTAGGCCTAAAATGTGGATTATATCATGTATGCAAAAAAACAACAAAGCCCTTAGCAGCAAAAGGGTCCCTATGGGGTTAAAGCACATCAGCTTGGACATTTTATGGCAGAAGCAATTGGAAGGGGATGCCTACAAACCTGGGACTGTCCCTTGAAATTAGACACAGGTGCATACTAAGTTTTCAGAAGCTGTAGCTTTGTCATAGCCAGCCACTCTACTGTAAACTCCAGGACGGCCCCTTTGTGTGTTACCTGTCTTGTTTCGGTCTGGCTCGCTGCACCCTGGTGGAGTGTCAGCTCTTGGACCCAAGCTGTTTACTCACAGACTCTGCTCTCCTTGGAGTGTCAATACCTGGAACATCCAGTTTACAGCGGTCCCGCCCACTCCCCGGAAGCACCCAAAGTCTGTCCCACCCTAACTCCGCTAACGCAGAGTTTTAGAACCAGCCAGCCCTTCCACGTCGGTACCGGAAGCTGGGCACCTTACCTGGCTGCTTACGACGACAGTAATTCGTACCGAGCCCGTTCCGAAACTCGAACGGAAGAAGCCAGGCCGGACCCAACCATTCAGTCTCTTCTCTCAGCGGAATGACATGCGCACCGACCAATAAACAACAGGATACACGAAGATAGACATGCTACGGAACCAATCAACGCAAACAATGCTGTGTTCTGCTCTGATGGGCATGACTTGCAACCAATCGAAAATAGGCTCTTTAACGTCACGTGCAAAGGGCGTGAATTGGGAATTAGTAAACTGCGAAGTTGCGGAGATTAACGGAGGGTATATGGGTTAATGACGCCATATTTAAAATGTTCTGCTAGCGATGGAAGGTTTCAATAAATCCTGTTAACGTAAAACAACAACATTTATGTGGTTACGGTGGCTGATTGGCTATAAATGTGTGGGCGTGACAGGATAAACTAAAAAGGAACTGGGAGGCGAGTAGGCTTGTCAGTCAACACACTCTATTAACCAATCACATTCTTGCCCCGCCTGTATATTGTGTTCACTAGAGGTCAAACTAATTGTGGTGCTTGTGTCTCCACTAAAGACGAGCCAAGCAGGGTACACCCAGCGAACATTTTGTTTGAAAAAAAAATGTATTTTGGAACGTTCGTTTGATCTTCTAATAGTTAATGGGGTTAAATCGATGATTTATTTTGACCATAGTGACAATAAAAAAATGGATCAGAAGGGAAATGTTTTTGTTTTAACAGTGAATGTGGCCTTTATTCTACAAACTAATTTCAAAATCGTCTACCCCAACACTGCAAGGGTTAAAGGAGAATTATGGGGTGAATGAAAAACACTCATCCCCATAATTCAAGCCGCCCTGTGACACAGGAGCTGTGATAGGTCGGCTCTATTGATTGGAAAGTCAGCGAGCACATACCGCCAATCGCTGACTTCCCATCCTTTCCCTGCAAAGAGCGGTGACGGATTCCCCCCTCTCTGTTTCTCCAGCCCTGACTAGAGGAATGGACGGGGAGGGGGCAGGCATAGCTGGCTCTGCTCTTAGAGAGGCAGGGCCAGCTGTCAATCAGCTAGCGGAGTGGATCTCGACAGTATTGTCGGGATTCTGCATGGCTCTGAGTCTGCGCTCTCAGCATATAGGGGCAATAGCCCGCTATATACTGAGTCTTAGGGCTCATTCACACGAGAATCGGCCACCACGTACAGCTCCGTGCAGGGCCGCATCGGGCAGCTCTGGGAAGTACAGGTGCTGCGTGTAGAGTTGCCACCTTTTCTTCAAGCGAAACCCGAACACTCTAGCGATGTGTAGACATTTTTTTGGAGTCGCGGCTTATTCATATGTAAATAGTGCCACCCATTAATATGTAAATATCACAGTTGAGGCAATTTTTAGTGGGGGACCAGTAGCCCCTATATTAATTTTCATTGCCCCTGTCTGCCTGACATCATGTGTCCGGGTTTCTGCTGCCATGAAACCCGGACACAGCATTCAAAACCCGAACTGTCAGGGTGAATCCTGGACAGGTGGCAACCCTAGCTGCGTGTGATTAGTACGCAGCCCTTGTCCTTCTCTATGGGACTACGTGGCTGTACGCCCCGCCCTACGCTCACCTGCCCTGCACGGATTTTTAAAAGCTAGTGCATCTGTAGTTCACATTCAGGATATTGTTTTATTTAGGAAAATAAAGGATGTAGTATTTCTTTCTAAGCAATGTCTTAAACTGTGATTAACACAAATTGTTACATTTGCATGACTCATCTTGCCCGGCAAGCAATATAATGTCTTTGGTGTCATTACCTATGTCATGCACTACAACTCCCACTTCGCTATAAATTATACACATTTTAATTTACAGACTCACTAAGCTACGGGTTCCACGTGACCCATGCTTCGCATTGCTCAATCAGCCTCTCCCTACCTCGTCTAAAACTTTAAACAAATTGATATTGTTTATTTTTTAGCTGCAGAAATTACCATTGCTAACGTTTGGAAGTCGCCCAGGGTCCCTCTTTTATTTTTTAAAACTAAGGTCTCATGGATTATGATTCATGAAAAGCTTCATAGTATAGCGCAAGATAAGAGATCTCAATTCGAAGCAGTTTGGGAACCATGGATGTCGTATCAGGGTATAACTGACTCTCCTTTGTGAAGCATGAGTGTGTAGTGGGGAGGCAGAATGCATCCTCGGGGGCCTTTCTTTTTGCTCTTTCTCTTTTCTTTTTTTTTTTTTACCTTAACCTTTTCTTTATGATCTCTTGGTTTATTTTAGCCCTTCCCTGCTGCATTTTTGTATACATCCTGATGGATCTTATCCTTTAGTCTGGATCTCATGATATTTTCTTTTCTTTACTGATGTTCAATTTTATTAGCAACAATATGTTCTGATTTTGTTGGATTGACTTAAGACAATGTGTCTTGGGAGTGGTAATGGCAGGGAGTGGATTGATAATATTGAAGATATATTGTATTGTTTCTTATTTGTATTTAGTAAATCTTTGTTTTTCACTTTTGAAATTCTTAATAAAAATATTGAAAGTAAAATCATACACATGCTGAGGCAAGTGCCATCTGTACAATGCACGAACAAGGGGACCACCATTACTGTCCGAGACTATGCTTGGTCTAACTAATATCTATGAGGGCTGAGGTGAAATACATTTGGCCATCCCCACGGCTCCAAAGTTTATATTGCCCTGTCATCCTTGAGAACAGCATATGACAGTGTGCGTCCATCACCAGAAACCAGAAAACAGTCTTTAAAAGGAAATCCTCAGGATTTCAGGTCTTCCAATATGAATGATCTTATTGCTGGGTGTACTGGGTTCCTTCATTCTTCACTGCTTGGGGAGGTGCAGGAGTTGGAGAATACCTATGCCATGAAGTGGCTGCAATGAGGCCTATAAAGGAACTGCACTTGGCCCATTGTGGGGGAATGCCTTTCCTGGCGGGGGTAATGTCTTCGCCAAGGTGACTCTTTTGGGTATTTTTAGAATCAACATTGGTTTCTTTCCCTTGTGCCTTCATATGTAACTAGGTATGTAACTAGGTAAGGTAGGAAATTGAATAGGAAGATATAAAAACACAGCAGGAAAAGTATAAATCTGGGCTCTCCTAACAATGTTGATAGCTTTTAGGAAAAGAAAAGCTGAATTTTTCAGGTGCACCAGGACCTGTGAGAATATGATCCAGCAACAAAGCTCTTCTCCAATAATCTGGGGATACTAAACCGTGTAATAAAGTTCTTTTTTTGGATTTTCTTTTTTTTCTCTGGTTCTTTTCTTGAGGATATGGATGGTTTTTTTTAAAATCCAAGGAAATGGATGTGACTCTGAGGTATGCCTGGGATTCCTGCGTGAGAAAATTGAAGTGGTCCCCAATCTTGAGAAATGGCTTTCCCAACTGAAAGCATATTTTGTAGCAGGTATTCCCAGAGCCACTATCGATTCTCCTTAGGCATTATTGCAGGTGCAATATGTATGGTCTGTATGTCTGTATGGTTGCATGGCTTTCAGCTCAACATAACTCGGAAGGATCTTTGTAATAAAACTTGGCAAGGGGACCGTTCATGAAGAATCCATATCTACTGGGCTCCTTTGTCAGGTGTCCTGTGAACTCCCCTAGTTTAAAGCCTAAGATCACCAAATATCCAATGGATGGGTGATGGTATAGGAGGATTGCGGGCAAGACAAGTCTTGATCCTGCACCAGGCTGATCACCATTTTGTCCTGCAGTTCACCTTTTATCTTACCTGCTCAATCTCCTCTTGCCAATTATTTGATTTCCTCATTGTCTTACCACACAGTGGTCTTGCTTACTCCTTATTGCCCCATCCCACTCATGATCTGCTTCTACTGCCTCCCCTCTTTCCTGTTCTGCCATGCTCTTGTCCTTGCCCTCTGGGAGATATGATCATCCAACCCCTGTTCTACACATCTTTGTCCCATCTTTCTTCCCTCATATCCACTTCCTGTCCATCTTTTGCCCCTTATGTACTCTTGGTCAAAATCACTTGAGATGCCCCAGTATGTACTAAAGATCTCTTACCTGACCCTCTACTTGACTTCAATCCACATTCCCACTGTGTTCATCTTCTATCTCTCTTCTATACCTGTACTCACTGTGCTTCTCCCCCAGGAGGTTCTGTTGCATTCTCAGCCCTACTCCATCTTAGCCCGTTTTCCTATCCCATCATCAACTCGTACCCTCCTAGAATCAACTCAAATAGTCTTCAAATAAATTGCAGTACATATTTGTGTTTATGCACTAAATCTAACTTCAAACGGCCCCACAGCAATTCCACCTAAATTATTAATCATTATTCCATGCAACCCCACTCTGCACCCTGTGTTGGATGTCTAGATACTGTATTTCACACTCTTCCACTTGGTCAATTGTGTGTTTTTTTAGTTTACACTGCTCCACGCTGTATACGGTAACGTACAGTCAATACTCCTTATCTCTTCACACTTGAATACTACACATCACCCCGCAGATTGTGCTGTACAATCTACACAATGCTGTTCGTTGTATACTCCCTTCAGTTATATTCTGTATATTCTGTTTTACCTTCCTCATATAGTTGCACTCTGTACACTTTGCTGAACATTCTATACTCCTCATTAATTTACTCTGAATACTGTGCTGTACATTCCACCACATCAGTGCTTAATCATAAGCATCAAGGCACTCCAGATCATGCTTTCTTCTGCCAATGATTTTAAAGTGACACTAAACTCAGGAGGTAAATCTTAAAAATACATTCACGTACCTTGACTAGTAACAAGCCCTTGCGGGAAGCGAGTTTGGAACAGTGGCTACTTTACAACACACGCAGGAACCATGAGGAAGAAAAGTAGCCACCCTCCAGAAGGAAGGACAGTGTCAGCATGAATTCAGATATGATTTGAGGATCTACAGCTAAGTGATAAACAAATAGG